TTTCAAAGGTCAATTTTAATCCTTATTAAAGTGTAAAATTGTGTTTTAAACTTAAAATATTTTTTTGAAACAATTTTTGCAAAGTATTTCCAACCAAAATCAAGCAAAAAATCAAGTTTATAAAGGGATGTACCGATGCACTCCTTGATGTATTGATGCACAACCTAATTCGAATGTTTTTTTTGTGTACCAATGCACAGCTATGCATCGATGCACTCCTGATTTTATTAAAACATCGAAAGCATTTTATGTACCGATGCACAAATAATGTATTGATACACTCCTGGCTCTTTTGAAACATCGAATGTAATTAGTGTACCGATGCACCCCAAGTGTACCGATGCACTAGGTCAACTAACGATTGAAATATTTGAATTTTACACATAGTGTACCGATGCACCCTTGAAAGTGTACCGATGAACCTACGCTCCCAACCAGATTTTTAAATGATAATTAAACAATAATGGCTCTATTGACTTCACCAATTATCTCCAACGTTCAGAAGTGATCCAAGGTGTATTTAAACAAGCTGGAGCCATTGATCAATAACAATTGTGAGAGAAACAAAGAGAGAACACTACTTGTACTCAATTGTATTCATTCTTGAGTGTTCTTTCTTTGTTCTAGAATTGTGCAAACATATTGCCTAGTGAGGTTTTTCTGTAAGTTTGCGAAATTTGTATTCTTCTCTTTAGGAGAGAGTGTTCTCAAGAATTTGGGGTATAATTCTTGAGGGAGTTGTAAGGTTACTCTTTGTCCTCAAAAGAATGAAAAAATTAGTGAATTTGTTGGAAAATCCTTAGTGTGGATAGCTAAGCTAGTGGACGTAGACTTTGGTTGTGAAAGTCGAACCACTCTAAATCGTTGTGCAAATATTTTCAATTTTCTGCAAAAGCTTCCACCGAAATTTTTAATTGCCAATTCACCCCCTCTTGGCTATTTCATCGATCGATTAACTCAACAGAAAGCTACATCTTCGTGACAATTTATTCTCCGTGTCAGACCTAGCAAGTAGCTTCCAGGGTTTATATGCCATATGTCTTTGTGAGGATTTATTCTCCGTGTTAGGCATAAGGAAATGTGCCATCTCGAATTAAACTCGATCCGCTTAAGCCTATAATGGGTGAGGATCGAGGGTCTGGCTTGCTTAAGGGGGCACCAACAAGGACAATTCGAGTACCTTTACTCTTAGAACTGAAACTCTGTACATAATAAACCGTAGAAACCCACCTGATCTAACACTATACTGAAATTTTGTCCGTAGGTACCCAAATATGTGCACAAAAAGGAGAAATAAACTCTAACCTTCGTCTTTTAATTTATTCGATGGATTATTTTTGAATAAATGCATGTGAACTAGAAATTATGCGGTTAGAGTTTTAATTTCCTCTATGTGTTTTATTCATTGTATTTTATGGTTCATTTACCAGTTGAATTTAATCTTTTCATATTTCACTAACATACATTTCATCTCTTTGATTATTATTTTTGCTAATATATATTGCTTGTTCTATTGCTTTATTTGTGCATAAACATGTTGTTAATACCCGAGGTAATTATCAAATTAGAAGGCTTTTAAAGCAACAATGCTATATGAAGGGGTAGATATATTTTATCTACTTTGATATATTGGGACGTTGTGAGTTCTTTGAAAGTTATTCTAAGACAATTACATTGAAATTAACACATGTTTCATATATGTAATGTCATAGAAGGTATTGATTACCGAATTAATAGTTACATTAGAATGCTTTCAATCTGACAATGTCACTCGAAGAGGTAGAATAAAAATACAAAAATGCATTAATGGTCCAGTAGGGTGCTCCAGGAAACAGCTAAAGAGGTACATCATGCTGGAATACATAAAGCTAAAATGACGCAGTAAAACAAGTTTTTCAAGGGTGCTATGATGATGTTGATACAACTAGCTGAAAAGAAATAATAAGTTTAAAGTCATCAAGCAACAACGATAACCAACACGAGATAGTGGATGATGTCAGTCGCATATGGTTGCTTAACAAATGCATTTCTGGAAAAGATGTCGAAGTGTTGGAATTGTCCATTAAGCCAGGAAATAAAAGAAGGATGTTTCCTTGCACATTCGATGAAAATCTATGAAATTGAGTAATATGACGTGATTTGTAGTTTCCATATGACTCGGTGTATTAAGACATTGTGAGTTATTTGGAAGTTGTTTTATGACAATTACTATGGGATAAATTTCTTTGTTGAATTTACATTTTTCATTTTGCATTCCCATTTTTGTATATTTTCATTTACATGTGCATCTTTGCATTAGCATCTATACATCATACATTGCATGATATACATTGCATCTCAACGTGCATTAATCATGAATCCTGGGAGTAACCCCCGAAATCTTTTAAGGTAAATTGAAGTCACCCTTCGTACTTAGAAAATAATTGAGAGCTAAAGAGATGATGTTAGCATCGTCTGAAGTTCGAGGCACATCATTGAGATCTGTGGGGCACCGAAGAGTAAGGTCCAGAATTTGTTTGACCCAGGGGTATTGAACTTTAACGTGTCATGAGACACTTTAGTGTCAAAAAGTTCTTCCATTCACCATGAAACCATATTGCACTGGCATCGTCCTGTTTGAATGTGTTTTTGTTCTTTCTTTGTATACTCAATAAATATTTTGTAATTATATACTTTTTACAAGTGGAAAGATTAGACCTTCCATACAATATCCAAAGTCGAAAGAATCATTATTTGGTTTCATACTTGAAATAACAGAGACTGAAACTTGACATCACTTCTATCTGAAATAATAAAGTCATTCCCTTATCCTTCATGAGGCACTGAAATCTGTACTTTTACCTTCCTAGAGAGAGTTAATATATCCTTAACACTACATTTTCCAAGATAGATGGCTTCAGATTCAATTATTTCCCTTCCTAGACAAAAACCAACATTCATTTCCCAACCTCAATAAAGTACGAGATGGTCGTGTGTACGATAACCATTACTGCAAGAAAGACAAGATGGAGTGTTACAGATTCAGTGTTTGCAAGAGAATTTGAATAATTGGGGCATACTAGGAGAAAAATGAAGTCGAAATAAAGGGAATAATTGAAATAATTTTAACATGCATTAATTACATTATTTTCATGTAAATAAGGTTAATCCTAAACACTCATCCCCCTAGGGATACCTCTTTTACAAGGACTTCTATGTATGAGATGATGAACGACTTTGTTTTATTTATTTTCAAAAAATTATATATATCCCTTATTGTCCCTATTTGAGCCTATAGTATTTTTCTTCTGATTCAACCTTAACCAAGGATCACCCTCCACACTGGGGGGCAAGGTGAAGTAAATATGCTTACAGAGTCAAGTCATGGCGAAATAAAGAAAGAAATAACAATATATCGCAAGGTGGACCAAATATGAATCACTCAAAGATCAAATCAAGTTAACAACATAGAGAGAAAAAAGAAGAGATATAGAAAAAAGAAGAAGAAAAAAAATAAAAGAAAAGAGAGAAAAGAAAGAAGACAAAAAAAGAGAAAAAATAAAAAGAAAAAAAGAGAAAAATAAAACAAATAAAAAATACTTCAAGATTATTGACTCAATAATCCTCAACCCACAAGTTTGATCGAGTACAACTTGTTTGAAGATCTAGATTCAATAAGAAGATCAAGAATGCGATGACAGAGTGAGATGGAGATGAACTCTCGGATGAAAACCCAAAAATGGGTAGTCTAGAGGGATAGAGGAAAATGAATAAAATGAAATGGTTGTAAGCATATTCAAATCAAGCAGAGCAAGATTGAAGATGTCAGCACAAGTTGATCCTTGGTTCGATAACCCTTAAACACTTGTTTAGGCTTATTTATCATTTTCTTTCATAACTGTGAGCCCTAGCCTACGTTACGTGCTAGAAAGGTCTCTTCTAATTATACATGGATTTCTAAATGGAGAGGCAATATTAAGATTTCATTTTGCCCCTCAGAGTTAATTTTATTTGCAAAAAATAGTTTTCTAAAATCTTTAATGCATGATAGGGAAAAATAATAAAAGAAGGGTTCAAGACGTAAAATTTTAGATGACGTCTTGAAACCAAAGGAGAATTCGAGTTGAAAACCTGAAAAGGCGGCTCAAATATGAAGATTGCCAACCACTGCATAGAAGACGATCTTATACATCTTGATAAAGCACTACACAACCCATAGGCGCTCACAAGGGCTGGGAACCGGTGAACATTTCCAGAAGATAAGAATAACAACTACTGCATCAAATCAACAAACACTATAATCAATGATACAAGATTTCAACCAAAGAAGCCAACCGGAACACATTGTCTCCCTAAATTGACCTGAAACACATTACCTCCCAAAATTAATCTGAAACGCTCTACTTTCCCAAGGTAGCCTATGCATTATATCAACATTAATCCTTACACTTGTCAAATGTATATACGTTTTGAAGGATTAAAAGAGTATTTGATTTATTTGATAATCAATGAACTATTATGTTACAATTTGTTTTGATTGTGAGCCTGAAGAAAATGACAACATTTTTTAGAAGAGATATTTTCCAACAAGACAATCTCAAGTGAAAAAGGTCCTTGAAGCTTGTGAGACTCAATCTGTCACCCCCAATTGGTGGGGTTAGTTTTTTAGTTGAATATGGGGTTTAGAGGACTCTAGAATACACATGAATTATGTCCATTATTTAGTGATGTGAATTTGTTTATTATTATTATTATTTTATATGGAAAATGGAGACCACAAGTGGGGAGAGTTGTTCTTTATTTTATGATTTCAGTAGAATAATGGTAGTGGTTGCATTAAAGTAAGAAGCTCACCTCAAAGCCCTTATATTCAAGCTCAAAATCCCCAAACAACCAACGTTTTGAGGTAAAAATACTCCATTGCTTGAGCGAAACTACCGAACCTAGAATGTCGTATGTACGAAGCAAATTATCCGGAGGTGGATATGGCGGGGATGATATAAGTGAAGAACATCACTGACATGGGTGCCCACATTTTGTTCCTTGAATACAACAACATAGAAGGCATGATCTTGTTCTCGGAACTCTCCCATCATCGGATTCTTAGTGTCAACAGTCTAATCAAGTTCGGCCGAACCGAGCTGGTGATTGTCCTCCACGTCGATAAGGAAAAGGGTTACATAAATTTGAGTAAGAGAAGGGTTAGCGAGGAAGATATTCAGGCTTGTGAAGAAAGGTATAACAAGAGTAAACTTGGTCATTCTATTATGCGACATGTTGCCGAGACTTTGGATATCGATTTGGAGGTAATTCTTGCTTTTCTTCTCCTCCTCATTTTTGCTATGTTTATGGCTACTTACAGTTTGTTCATTTGGATATGAAGTACTTTCAGAGTTTAGCTATGGGTTTTTGGTAATAAGTCGAACTAAATTTGGTTGTTTGAGGGGAATCAACTACCATTAAAAGATATACAAATGATCTGTAATCTTGATTTTTTTCGATGAAGTGATGAATAGTTTCCTTTTACTTCAAGCTCTCTGCAAAATTGGTTTTGTTGAGCTTTTAATTATCTTTTACAAGTCACAACGTTTACAAATGTTGTTGGAGAAAAGAAAGAAATCAGGAAATGAAAGAACTGGGAAAGAAAGGATTAAAAAATGATTTTATATATGAACATTAAAATCACGTGGGAGGTAGCTAGAAAAAAAGGGGAAATTACAAGGTAAGCCATCCAACTTGTAAAAACTCAACCTTGTTTCTTAGCTTTCATATTGTTATGATCATGGCATAATGGTTTTATTAAGATTGATTTAGTCTCTAATTTTAGTAATTAAAAATTATATTGACTCCTAAAGTTTTTAGTTTTAACAATTTGGTCCCCAAATTATAAATTAGATTCTAATAAGTTATTTTTATGGCGAGAAAAATTATTTGAAATCGTATTTGTACGATAGATTGTCCGTGTTCGTTAGAAAAAGATTGGAAGCTAGAAATCAAATTGATGAACTGGAATTAAAGAGTACTATTTTGGGTTTTGTTAACGTCCGGAGTCCAACACTGAAGTTCGTTTCGCCAAATTCAAACCCGGTAAGATGTTTTTCACTGATTTATCACCCGATTCGATCCGTTTTTCGGAATTAAGCCCAGATTTTGATGAAATTTCTATTGTTATATATTTGAGGAATTATTGGAAGTTGAATTAAAGACCGAGGGTGTTCGAATGGAATTTAAATGGTCGAACAGTATGACACAAAAATCGAGGTAATACTTTACTACCTCTTTATGCTTTATGGATCATGTGAATATTGATAAATGTATGAATAAGATAATGTTGGTCACTTTTGTGGAGTTGATTAATTTCTACACTCGATCTGAATACGATAAAAAGGTTCAGTAAATGATATGGTACAGATGACTTTTATAAGAAATTGGAGAATTGTTAGAATTAAAATTACAAGTTTTGTGTTTAATGATAATGGAATCAGTTTAGATCAGCATCATTTAATTTATTTCATCAAAGGTATTTGGATGGGAAATTATGAGAATATTCTGATAGGGTAAAATTACGAAAATACCCTTATGTTGAAGGATGACAAGAATTGTCCCTGGAAGTTGGTTAATAGCTCTAAAAAGACATATTGATCCGATAAAAATTACTGATGTGCATAAGAAATGTTAGTTTTGCTTAGGAAATGCAGATAACCGGTTTTTAACCCCATGAGGGTTTGAGCAAGATGCTAGAAGTCTGTTAAGGAATCATTTCAAGATCAGAGAATGTTCGGGAAAGCAATTAACCATAAGATCTTTAAATTATAATTATTTTCATTAAGAGTTAATATCGATATTATCTGGTTAAGAAATTACAAAAATGCCCTTGAGATATAAAATAGTCTGAATTGACCCTGAATGAGAAAGTACTTTGAGGATTTGTACTTAACTCGATTAAGTACAAATTTAATTGTTAAGATCCTATATTTGTACAGAAAAATTCATGATATTCCGTTTGTAAAATCTGAGAACACACTTGACCCGAAAATATTCGAATAATGAGTAAATACTTGAAGAGTAATTTAACGGGGGTATTCTGCTGTCAGAATTATTCGAAAGGACTGAAGTAAATGATAAGATTGAATTAAATAATAAGATCGGATGGAAGGAAACGATTGAAATACCGTAGATCTAAAAATGACTAAAATACCCCTGTAATGGAAATGACCCAAGAATATCACCAAGCTCAGGAATGATTGGATATCCTCGAGCTCTGAAATGAATGGAATAAAACTGAGCACCAAAATAAACTTATGGTCTAAACTAAGTAAATGTCCTGGATTAATTAAGGAATCCAAATAAGCATAGGTATTGGACTACCTTTAAAAGTAATGGAAAATAATTTAAGTGAGTAGATCAACCCTAAAGCTATGTCAATACCTAAATATCATATATATTACTGGAATGCGTATTCGTCTTCTCAAGTGTGGTTTGATGATAATTTTGAAAGTACTCAGCTCAGCTCAACTTTATATCGCATTCGGTAATAAGAAATGAATATTCGTTAGACAAATCAACCACGAAGACCAAATTAAATTGAACGGAAGTACTATATGTATATGAAATTTAGAAATGTCTGGATTACCTTGAAAACCCCCCGAAATAACTGTAATGGACTTGACTGCTAAATGAATTAAGTAACCTCAAGGACTAATGATTAAGTAAGTGATTTAGATGAGTCTGGAAACGTTAATGAACATACATGATGTAATGTTCTTATGGATCATGAACTACAAATCAAGCACGTCAGCAGTTCATGATATAGTGAATGCGTGAACATGAAATTAAGAGCATTGGAATATCTGTTAGTCTCCTTAAGATCTGTTCAGTGATGACTCAGAATATGATCTATTGATAATAATATTTGGTATTAAAGAGTAAATACCCTGGAAAGTTAATGAATTGACAAGATGATAAGTATTATTTCTAGGAGCTATTCATCTGGAGTTGTTCGATAAACTGATTAATCAACATAGATTGTAAAGGTCATGAACCTTTATTTCTTCCCTATCAGCTCAAGTCTTATTCTGAATAATTGATGATTCTGTCAGTTATTAAACTCTTCCAATAGTGATTCTAAATTCTGATATCCTATCGGTATACTGAAGATTCATGTTTCTCTACCTACTAAGATTGTCCAGTACCTCTGAATAATATCTGTAAACTCTAGTGTGTTCCCTAATTACATGAATGTTTTATCTGATTTCCGACTTGAATTTTGTTCTGATACATGATCTGAATTCTGTTATGATTTTTGATCTAGATTCTGTTCTGATATTTGTTCTGAATTATTTTTTGATTTTCTGATATCTTCGTTTACTGATGGAAAAATGTTTTAATTGGGGGGTATTGTTGAAGGAAGTATTTCTGCAGGTTCCTCGGCTTTGTTCTCAGGGCCTTACAGGTTGTGTGGGTTGGGTGTATGGTTCTGGGGAACCTACACAAACAGATTGTGAAAGGATGGGGGTATATATATATATATATGTTTTAAAAGATATGTATCTTTTTACTGGTTTTACGGGAACACGCTAGATAACGTATTCTGATATCCTGAACTCAGTCATTCGAAATATTTATCTGAACTAAAAGCTCATTGTCCGTTACCATATGAAATATCAGTAGGATCTTCGATCAACACAAAAATCTGTAGATGTTCAGAAACAAATAAGAAAACATATGTTTATCAGTATATGCACGTTCTTCAACATCATCTAGTAGTTCTGTATTACTGAGATTTTCGAAGCTCACTCTATTACTCAGCATTGCAGGTTAAAAGAATTGTACCAGTGCAACTATCGTCATCAGTATGAGAGTTCTCCAAGCGTTGCTTCCAGAGATTGGTATATGTTATTAGGGGGCATGTAATTGTATTTTGTTTTATATACGAGTCTGAAAATCTATTTTATTTTTGAATACTGATAAATGATTTTATAAGTTTACGTTTTGATAAAAAGTTTTAAATTTTCCGTAATGTTTACAATGGGTCGCTCCGGTGTCCCTAATGTGACACTCCAGATCGGATCGGGTTACCCGTATCGGTCTGAGGGGGTTACATTTAGTGGTATCATAGCTTAGGTTTGAGTCAAAAATTTTCAAGATAGACCGGCCGATCGAATTTCAAAAAGATGTATGATCAGTACATGCCCCTAGACTACAATCGTACTTCTCTGAGTCGGAACTCCAAGGTTGAGTCCCTATCTGTAACGAGCAAACCTATGTTTTTATCCGTAAAGGCTTTACGTTTGCATAAAGGAATACCAATAACGTTTATCTGAATTCTGTAAAGTACTACACGAGACATGTGAGAGTTACTCTTCTGAGAAATTCTAACTCGACTTCGAAAATGAAATTGGGATATGCTACTAGTCTATGAGCCTATTCTCATAACTAAGAATGAATTGATTACTCAAGGAAATTTTCGTTCGGATTCTTTTATTGAAATGAGGGAGAGTTCTGATAAAAAATGTATACTCAACTAGTTAAGAATTAGTGGAAGATTCATACTTTTGTAAAAGCTACTTGAAGATATGAAAGAACGATAGAAGTTTCATTTCTGAAATTCTGTGACATGAATGAATTTCGAGGACGAAATTCTTTTAAGAAGGGGAGAATTGTCACCTCCCAATTGGTGGTGTTAGTTTTTTAGTTAAATATGGGGTTTAGAGGACTCTAGAATACACGTGAATTATGTCCATTATTTAGTGATGTGAATTTGTTTATTATTATTATTATTTTATATGGAAAATAGAGACCACAAGTGGGGAGAGTTGTTCTTTATTTTATGATTTCAACAGAATAATGATAGTGGTTGCATTAAAGTAAGAAGCTCACCTCAAAGCCCTTATCTTCAATCTCAAAATCCCCAAACAACCAATGTTTTGAGGTAAAAGTACTCCATTGCTTGAGCGAAACTACCGAACATAGAATGTTGTATGTACGAAGTAAATTATCCAGAGGTGGATATGGCGGTGATAATACAATTGAAGAACATTGCTGACATGGGCGCCCACGTTTTGTTCCTTGAATACAACAAAATAGAAGGCATGTTGTTCTCGGAACTCTCCCATCATCGGATTCTTAGTGTCAACAGTCTAATCAAGTTCGGTCGAACCGAGCTGGTGATTGTCCTCCACGTCGATAAGGAAAAGGGTTACATAGATTTGAGTAAGAGAAGGGTTAGCGAGGAAAATATTCAGGCTTGTGAAGAAAGGTATAACAAGAGTAAACTTGTTCATTCTATTATGCGACATGTTGCCGAGACTTTGGATATCGATTTGGAGGTAATTCTTGCTTTTCTTCTCCTCCTCATTTTTACTATGTTTATGGCTACTTACAGTTTGTTCATTTGGATATGAAGTACTTTCAGAGTTTACCTATGGGTTTTTGGTAATGAGTCGAACTAAATTTGGTTGTTTGAGGGGAATAAACTATCATTAAAAGATATACAAATGATCTGTAATCTTGATTTTTTTCGATGAAGTGATGAATAGTTTCCTTTTACTTCAAGCTCTCTGCAAACTTGGTTTTGTTGAGCTTTTAATTATCTTTTACAAGTCACAACATTTACAAATGTTGTTGGAGAAAAGAAAGATATAAGGAAAGGAAAGAACTGGGAAAGAAAGGATTAAAAAATGATTTTATATATGAACATTAAAATCACGTGGGAGGTAGCTAGAAAAAATGGGGGAAATTACAAGGTAAGCCATCCAACTTGTAAAAGCTCAACCTTGTCTTTTAGCTTTCATATTGTTATGATCATGGCATAATGGTTTTATTAAGATCGATTTAGTCTCTAATTTTAGTAATTAAAAATTATATTGACTCCTAAAGTTTTTAGTTTTAACAATTTGGTCCCCAAATTATTAATTAGATTCTAATAAGTTATTTTTATGGCGAGGAAAATTATTTGAAATCGTATTTGTACGATAGATTGTCCGTGTTCGTTAGAAAAAGATTGGAAGCTAGAAATCAAATTGATGAGCTGGAATTAAAGAGTTATATTTTGGGTTTTGTTGACGTCCGGAGTCCAATTCTGAAATTCATTTCACCAAATTCGAACTCGGTAAACTATTTTTCACTGATTTATCCCCCAATTGATCCGTTTTTCAGAATTAAGCCCAGATTTTGATGAAATTTCTATTGTTATATATTTGATAAATTATTGGAAGTTGAATTAAAGACCGATGGCGTTCGAATGGAATTTAAATGGTCGATCAGTATGGCACAAAAATCGAGGTAATACTTTACTACCTCTTTATGCTTTATGGATCATGTTAATATTGATAAATGTATGAATAAGATAATGTTGGCCACTTTTGTGGAGTTGATTAATTTCTACACTCGATCTTAATACGATAAAAAGGTTTAGTAATTCATATGGTTCAGATGACTTTTATAAGAAATTGAAGAATTGTTAGAATTAAAATTACAAGTTCTGTGCTTAATGATAATGGAATCAGTTCAGATCTGCATCATATAATTTATTTCATCAAAGGTATTTGGATGGGAAATTATGAGAATATTCTGATAGGGTAAAATTACGAAAATACCCTTTTGTTGAAGGATGACAAGAATTATCCTTGAAAGTTGATTAATAACTCTAAAAAGACATATTGATCCGGTAAAAATTACTGATGTGCATAAGAAATGTTAGTTTTGCTTAGGAAATGCGGATAACCGATTTTTAACCCCATGAGGGTTTGAGCAATATACTAGAAGTCTGTTAAGGAATCATTTCAAGATCAGAGAATGTTCGGGAAAGCAATTAACCATAGGTTCTTTAAATTATAATTATTTTCGTTAAGAGTTAATATCGAAATTATCTGGTTAAGAAATTACAAAAATGCCCTTGAGAGAAAAAATAGTCTGAATTGACCCTGAATGAGAAAGTACTTTGAGGATTTGTACTTAACTCGATTAATTACGAATTTAATTGTTAAGATATTGTCTTTGTACAGAAAAATTCATGATATTCTGTTTGTAAAATCTGAGAAGACACTTGACCCGAAAATATTCGAATAATGAGTAAATACTTGAAGAGTAATTTATCGGGGGTATTCTGCTGTCAGAATTGTTCGAAATGACTGAAGTAAATGATAAGATTGAATTAAATAATAAGATCGGATAGAATGAAAAGATTGAAATACCGTAGATCTATAAAATGACCAAAATACCCCTGTAATAGAAATGACCCAAGAATATCACCAAGCTCAGGAATGATTGGATATCCTCGAGCTCTGAAATGAATGGAATAAATGAACACCAAAATAACCTTATGGTCTAAACTAAGTAAATGTCTTGGATTAATTAAGGAATCCAAATAAGCATACATATTGGACTACCTTTAAAAGTAATGGAAAATAATTTAAGTGAGTAGATCAACCCTAAAGCTATGTTAATACCTGAATGTCATATATATTACTGGAATGCGTATTCATCTTCTCAAGTGTGGTTCGATGATAATTTTGAAAGTACTAAGCTCAGTTTCTCTACCTACTAAGATTATCCAGTACCTCTGAATAATATCTGTAAACTCTGGTGTGTTCCCTAATTACATGAATGTTTTATCTGATTTCCTACTTGAATTTTGTTCTGATACATGACCTGAATTCTGTTATGATTTCTGATCTGGATTCTGTTCTGATATATGTTCTGAATTCTGTTTTAATTTTTTGATATCTTCGTTTACTGACGGAAAAATGTTTTAATTGGGGGGTATTGTTGAAGGAAGTATTTCTGCAGGTTCCTCGGCTTTGAGCTCAGGGCCTTACAGGTTGTGTGGGTTGGGTGTATGGTTCTGGGGAACCTACACAAACATATTGTGAAAGGATGGGGGTATATATATATATATTAAAAGATCTGTATCTTTTTACTGGTTTTACGGGAACACACTAGATAACATATTCTGATCTCATGAACTCAGTCATTCGAAATATTTATCTGAACTGAAAGCTCATTGTTCGTTACCATATGAAATATCAGTAGGATCTTCGATCAACACAAAAATCTGTAGATGTTCGGAAAATAAGAAAACATATGTTTATCAGTATATGCACGTTCTTCAGCATCATCTGGTAGTTCTGTATTACTGAGCTTTTCGAAGCTCACTCTATTACTCAACATTGCAGGTTAAAAGAATTGTACCAGTGCAACTATCGTCATCAGTATGAGAGTTCTTCCGGCGTTGCTTCCAGAGATTGGTATATGTGATTAGGGGGCATGTAATTGTATTTTTTTATACGAGTCTGAAAATCTATTTTTTTTTGAATACTGATAAATGATTTTATAAGTTTACGTTTTGATAAAAAGTTTTAAATTTTTCGTTATTTTTACAGTGGGTTGCTCCGGTGGCCCTAATGTGACACTCCAAATCGGATCGGGTTACCCGTATCGGCATGAGGGGGTTACACAATCTGCTTCAATAAGAGAAAAGAACAAACGATGCCAGAGTAATGCAGACAGATCACATAGTTCGAGAGATCAGAAGGACTAGTGGATAGAACTTCTAACACTTCTTTTGACATTGTTGGTAATCCATCTAGAAGCAGATGATCGCCTTAGTCGAAAGGGGCATATATCTCAGCTAATGACAAAGATTCAAGACATTTCTTTAGAAATTGATCACTTCTCAAATGTCCATCTAATTGTGGCATCATGAAGAGAAGCCTTTAACTATTCGATAACATTTTGTTGATGGCATATTATTGTTGATTAGTGACACAAGAGTGAGACCATTCAAGATTAATATTTTGGCACGAAAAGAGCCATGAGTTCCCATATGGGGGCATTAACAAAACCATATCTCATCGATATAACGAGATTTAAATCAGCAGACATGGTGAATGATCCTCACCGTTTGGAATGCCAAGGACATATGAGGACAAAAAGAGTTTACATTGAAATGTCCCTAATAGAATTATTGAATTGGAGCCATAAAGAGGCATCAAGAACATATGCATGACCGCAGGAGACTTCTTGTAATACTGTAATGAAGAAACCAAATATAGAAGACAGAAAAGACATGATTGCACAAGATAATGAGATTACTCTTCGGAAGATACAAGCTTAAGCTGACAAGTTGTCATTGAGGCAGAATCCATTTAAAGATGATCAAGTGAAGGAAGATTGAGTTCTTCACTTTGATCCATAAGAAGAATGATGATCAACATTTTGTATTCCATAACCTCATACAGTACATATAGATACATATCTAATGCATCACATTTCATGCATCAAGGCTTATTTTACATATTTTCCAAGAAAAAAAAGAAAGAAAACTCAGAATTCAAGCCTCCAATAAGAAAATTATATTAAGAGTTGTAGAACTTCAAGAATTCAGGAACTCAATACACAGAAAAATCATTATTTTTGAAGTGGGGCATGTTACCCAGCTACTAAGAATGAATTGATTACTCAAGGAAATTTTCGTTCGGATTCTTTTATTGAAATGAGGGAGAGTTCTGATAAAAATGTATACTCAACTAGTTAAGAATTAGTGGAAGATTCATACTTTTGTAAAAGCTACTTGAAGATATGAAAGAACGATAGAAGTTTCATTTCTGAAATTCTGTGACATGAATGAATTTCGAGACGAAATTCTTTTAAGAAGGGGAGAATTGTCACCTCCCAATTGGTAGTATAGTTTTTTAGTTAAATATGGGTTTAGAGGACTCTAGAATACACGTGAATTATGTCCATTAGTGATGTGAATTTGTTATTATTATTATTTTTTTATAAGGAAAATAGAGACCACAAGTGGGGAGAGTGTTCTTTATTTTATAATTTCAACAGAATAATGATAGTGGTTGCATTAAAGTAAGAAGCTCACCTCAAAGCCCTTATCTTCAATCTCAAAATCCCCAAACAACCAATGTTTTGAGGTAAAAGTACTCCATTGCTTGAGCGAAACTACCGAACCTAGAATGTTGTATGTACGAAGTAAATTATCCAGAGGTGGATATGGCGGTGATAATACAATTGAAGAACATGCTGACATGGGCGCCCACGTTTTGTTCTTGAATACAACAAAATAGAAGGCATGTTGTTCTCGGAACTCCCATCATCGGATTCTTAGTGTCAACAGTCTAATCAAGTTCGGTCGAACCGAGCTGGTGATTGTCCTCCACGTCGATAAGGAAAAGGGTTACATAGATTTGAGTAAGAGAAGGGTTAGCGAGGAAAATATTCAGGCTTGTGAAGAAAGGTATAACAAGAGTAAACTGTTCATTCTATTATGCGACATGTTGCCGAGACTTTGGATATCGATTTGGAGGTAATTCTTGCTTTTCTTCTCCTCCTCATTTTTACTATGTTTATGGCTACTTACAGTTTGTTCATTTGGATATGAAGTACTTTCAGAGTTTACCTATGGGTTTTTGGTAATGAGTCGAA